ATTTACGGGTTTCCTGAATCCCTTTATATTTTTAATGACTTATTGAATATAAATCTCTTACCAAGCAATTATGCTCCTTTTATATTGGAATAGAATTCACATAACTTTTAAACATATTAAGTATTATATTTACTTAACAAACACAAAAGTCATTGCCATCAAGTTGGAATCAACCCATAGCTGACCCTCTGTTGGGTTTCCAAGGCTGTATGTCACATAGGAGATTGCCCATCTTTCTTCCGAGGACTGGTGGTAGAATTGAACCATGAGAGAAATGAGGCAGACTCCACCACAGAAGCTCTCTCTATATTTAATACCAATAGTTTGGTATTAAGTGTATTGACAGAGTGGTTCAACCATTACTTTTGGTTAATTAAAGAACATTTTTTATCATCCCCCAAAGAAGCCATGTACATTTTCACAGTCATCCCTTCTTTCCTCCATCTCCTGTTGCTTTGGGGAATTTAATATTAATGGATTATATAATATATAATCTTTTGTGATTGATATCTTTCACATAGCATAATATTTCTGAGGCTCACTTATATTGTAGCATGTACTTCATTCCTTTTTATTGCCAAATAATACTCCAATAGATTTGCTATATACTGTGTGTCTGTTTATCTCTTAATGGACTTCTAAAGTTCTTTCTACTTTTAATTATTATAAATAATACCACTATAAATATTCATGTGTAAGTTTTTATATGGACATATATTTTCATTTATTTTGGCCATATAACTAGGCACAGACTTGATAAGTATTATAGTAATTCTGTATTCAGCCTTTAAGGCGCAAATTGTTTGCCATAGTACCGTTTACATTCTTATAAACAATGTATGTTGTTGTTAAATGTCATCGTGCTGTAGAGACTCGTGGCGACCCTATGAATGAAAGACCTGAACACTTGTATAACTTCCATCGTTTCTCCATGTTCATAGAGTTTCTAGAGGCAAGCTGTTTCAGAAGTGGATGCCATTCCTGATTCCAAGCTTGTTTTAATCAGGGAACTCCACCAAACACTGTCCACCATGGGTCACCATTATCACATTTGACACATCAGGGTCACAGTGTTCAGCATCACAGCAACCATGAGTTACCGCTGTACAGCAAGTGGACAGACCAGTGCTATGCCACTTAGAAGAATGTTTGACCAAAACCAATTAAAACCAGGCCTGAACGCTGCAGATTAAAATCACCCACCTTTG